TATATCAAATGAAAGCTCTTAATGAGCTCTTTCTACTGCCAAAAGGACACAAGTGAATTCATAGTAATTTTGGAGTTATTCATTAGAAACAAAAAGACTAAACACTGAAAATACTAAGCCAGCTGGTGCCAAAAGGGCGTAACTGCACTTGCGTCACTCTGGCATTGAGAAATGTATTGAGGGTAAAGCCTGTGGATAGCACATGAGTCAAAATATCTGACACAACAAGTAAACCTGGTAGGTCAACCATGAGAAGACAGCAGTTTTTAACTACTGAAGATGTATTATTAAGCTTATTTTTTGACAAAGAGCTGGATGATGATGGAGAAAATTAAAGTATCCAGCATTCAATGTCAGTGAGGTGTAGCTAGCTAGCAGGTAGTAACCAATAACTTACATTCTAATTGTAAGTTACTGCTTAGTCACATGAGTCAAAATATCTGACACAACAAGTAAACCTGGTAGGTCAACCATGAGAAGACAGCAGTTTTTAACTACTGAAGATGTATTATTAAGCTTATTTTTTGACAAAGAGCTGGATGATGATGGAGAAAATTAAAGTATCCAGCATTCAATGTCAGTGAGGTGTAGCTAGCTAGCAGGTAGTAACCAATAACTTACATTCTAATGGTATATCATATAGGCACTCAGTTATTGCTTAGCCACAAGAGAGAGAATGCAGAGAAGGGTTTATTATTACTATTGTTAATAATAATTAGTTATGCAATTCATTACTTCAGTGTCATTCAGTTAAAGTGACTACTGAACAGACATTTAGAAGTGTATTTAAGTGTGTCCCATCAGGTAATGAAAAGTTCTACACACACTTGTCGTCTTCATGCTCACTTGAACACTTGGGCCAAATACAGGAAATACATCATATAAGCAGTCAAGTGCAAAGACCACAAGTGTGGGTATTTGGATAGGGCAAAAGTGTACCTGAAGTATACTTGCAATAGTACCACTTTAGCACAATCAGATATGCTTAAGTATATCTTTAGTTGGACCTCAGCACTACTTCCGCACAATTAAAGTGCATTAAATTATTTTTTCCAATTTAGCAGACTTTAAGTATACCAAAAGTACGACTGCTGAGTATTTTTAAAACACATACATTTGTAAATGTATTTGTAGTATACTTACCACAAAATAAATGTATTTCAAATACATTTTAGTATATATTTTTTTTCCACTAGGGATTTCACATGATTTGACCCTTTATGACAAATCAAGGCTTAGTTGTACTGTCATATAATGCTAATTATATTATGTCTAAAATGTGTTTTAATATCACTATTAATAAGGACTGTATAATCTCTGTATAATATCAGTCTTTAAAGTCCTCATGAAATCAAAATTGACTTTATTTCCTTAGCACACATTGCTAGTCTTGAGTTGAACAATTCGAGGGGTGAGAACCAGAAGGGCGTAAGTGACATTTTGGGTTGGGGCATTTTGAGTAGCTAGCTAGCAGGTAGTAACCAATAACTTACATTCTAATGGTATATCATATAGGCACTCAGTTATTGCTTAGCCACAAGAGAGAGAATGCAGAGAAGGGTTTATTATTACTATTGTTAATAATAATTAGTTATGCAATTCATTACTTCAGTGTCATTCAGTTAAAGTGACTACTGAACAGACATTTAGAAGTGTATTTAAGTGTGTCCCATCAGGTAATGAAAAGTTCTACACACACTTGTCGTCTTCATGCTCACTTGAACACTTGGGCCAAATACAGGAAATACATCATATAAGCAGTCAAGTGCAAAGACCACAAGTGTGGGTATTTGGATAGGGCAAAAGTGTACCTGAAGTATACTTGCAATAGTACCACTTTAGCACAATCAGATATGCTTAAGTATATCTTTAGTTGGACCTCAGCACTACTTCCGCACAATTAAAGTGCATTAAATTATTTTTTCCAATTTAGCAGACTTTAAGTATACCAAAAGTACGACTGCTGAGTATTTTTAAAACACATACATTTGTAAATGTATTTGTAGTATACTTACCACAAAATAAATGTATTTCAAATACATTTTAGTATATATTTTTTTTCCACTAGGGATTTCACATGATTTGACCCTTTATGACAAATCAAGGCTTAGTTGTACTGTCATATAATGCTACTGCAACAACAACTGTTAATTAATATATTTATAAGCAAACCATTAATAATAAATAGTCAAATGTATTCAAATGTACATGTATTCAAAGTGTAAGGAAAATACTTTTAATTTAACAGTTATGCCACATGACGTCAAGAAATTTAAGCCTTTCTTGAAAAAGGATCAAAGTTTCTGTCAAAACCATATGAATTTCTAAGAATGTGGCACTTGTGTTTTAAACTAGATTTTTTTAAAAGTTTTTCCTTTTTTCTTATTTGTAACTGATCCATTTATATATGTCATAGAGGGAATCAGATGTACACACAGACCTGTAGCTCTTGGATGGTAATTCTGTGGTAGAGTAACTTCTGACTGAGGCGGTAGCGGAGAGGGGCCGTGGCCAGGGCCAGAGTTGTGGATAGAGATATGTAAAGACCGCAGTGCTGAGTGGTTTCATTGGAGGGAACACCCAAGAGAGCCAAGTACTGACCACATGACATGTAGAATGGACGCAAATACTGAGAAAGAGGAACAGAGACAACAACAGAGAAGTTATATCAAAGAACCCTTTATAAATAATGCATTATGAACACATGTGGTGCTAAGCTGAACAGAAAATACCTACCCGAGTACTAGCTTTGGATTTCTTTTTCTTGCTATTCCAGTCAATAGGGAATTGAAAATGAGGCTCATCAATCTATGGAAATGTACATGGACATTTTAACCAACATATAGAGTGTAAAACAATCTCAAAAACAAACCAAAATATTGAGGATTCATGTACACAGGGGCGTAATACAAAGCACTGCTCAATGAAATGTCTCAGGGATGAAAAGGTAATCAAAATTATTTTCTCCATGGGATACAAAAGTAATTGCAACTTTTTTCTAACAATTCAGACTTTTCCCCTCACAATTCTGAGGGGGAAAAAAACTTCAGAATTGTGAGATATATACTCAGAATGACATATTATGTGAGATATTAACTTGCAATTGCAAAAAAGACAACATAGTGAGAATTGTGACAAGCTTTTCTTATGCTTTAAATATAAAAAAGGTAACTGCGACTTTTTATCTTGCAATTCTGACTTTTTGTCTCAGAAGTGCAAGTTTATATCTAGCAGTTCTGAGTTTATAAATTGCAAATCTGAATTCCAAGAAAAAAGTAAAGTGTGAGATATAAATTCAGAATAGTAAGGGGAAAAAGTCAGAATTGTGAGATAAAAAGTCACAATTACCTTTTTTATTTTTTGTTCTGTGGTGGAAATAAACTTCCATACAAAATCCATGTAATCAAATTGTAATCAACTCAATGAAATACATCAAAACAGAAAAGAAAACTGTGCCCATCAACTATATCATGGGGTCTTTACAGCATTTTATAATTGCTAGGACCAATTTCTCAATACTTATAGGTCACTTTCTTTCAAACTCGGTTCTCAGTTTAACCGTTTTTTTTTAATCAATGACTACGTTTACATGGACATCAGTAATCTAATTATTTAGCTTATTCTAAATAAGCCAATATTATGATTATGGTGTTTACATGAGTTGCTTTTAGAATATTCCTTTCATGTTCCGTTTTACGTGTTATAGTACATAGTTCGATTAAGGTGTTTACATGTCTATGCTGCACTTCAGTAATGCGACTAAAATAGGAATACTTCACATTTCTTAATTCGATTTCGGTTTACTTCGAATATGACTTTATCCGGATTAAGGTAATTAAAAATCTCTGTTTATATGGTAGATTCTTAATCAGAGTATTGTCTTAATCGTGTTAAAATCGGAGTATTGTTGTCCATGTAAACGTACTCAATGTTAACATGCAAATTGGCCTGTATTTACACAGAATGTTGGTAGTGGTTGTGTCTGAATGAGAAAAGAAATCATGTAATTTGAAATAAGTAGTCATTGAATGCATTTGGTCCAAAGCAAAGATGATCCATAGTTTAGCCCACATAGACTGCTGTTCACCTAAGTATTGAGAAAACTGTAAATCATGCTACTAATTGATTATATTCTAGCTTCATCAGTAATCACCTGTATGTAGTGTTGACTGGAAGCCGTTTGCTCTTCAAACTGGTCTGACCCTGCATACACACTGAAGAAAGGAAATGTGGAGTACTGGCCCATTAGCAGGGCGAGGGTGGTGTTAAAATCTGTCCGATTCCATCCATTTGATACTGCCCAGCCACCTAACTACACACACCGAGAGAGAGAGAGAGAGAGAGAGAGAATCAAAAGATAAAGAACATCGGAGCAAAATACACAATGCAATTCAAGTGCTTTTACAGTTTCCTTCATCCTAAAAAGTGCGTGTACCTGCTGGATTAATGTGAGGAAGGGTTTTGAACCCACTTTCTCTTGGGATTCTGCGTCCATGCAGGTGTTGAAGTATTTCTTTGCTTTCTGTTCTGCTGCACTCACAGAAACACTCTCCTCAGGAGCCTCTGATCACACAGGGATCATACAGATTGAATGTCAAAGATGATTCAAGATTGTTTTATACAATACCATAAATGACTACTGAATAGTTTTGTGGTTCATCAGAGGCAAAACCAAGTATTACCTAGAAATGAAAAGTTTGTTACGACAAATTTTTTGACAAAGTCTCACCTGATAATTAAAAAAAGTCTAGCCTTGGACAGAGAGAAAGAACAGCAGAACAAACAATAGACAGAATGATAGACACATAGAGCAACATATACACTGTCTGAGCGATATATAGATCGCAAGAAAATAGATCAACCATTAGACTTAAACCAGCCAAAGATGGCTTGCTGGTTTTAGTTAAAGCTGGTGCTCCAGACATTCACCCTATTAATATTTTAAATGCATCTTATTGATCTTATTGTAAATGAGTCATCCATGCATGTTTCTTTTTTATTATCATTGTAATTTTTGTAATTATTTTATTCACATTATTGTAATTTTTTATCAAAATGTCATCACTCGATCTTGCAGTGTAACACCAGACTTCTCTCTAGTGACTTATATTGGATTTCTCCAATCACTTAGTCCATTTAAACTCCGCCCCTTTCTTACAATCGACTTCCTCCATCCAATCAACACCCGGTGGATAAAACCAAGTCCCGTCCCTTTTTTCTTTTTCGATAATCCGTTTTAACTCAAATGGTTGTCACAATGTGGAAGAAAAGATCTGTTGCTACTTACTTTACAATGCAACTTTTTGTGCCAAGTTTAAAACTAGCCAACAGAGCACTGAGACAACTGAGACACTAAGGAGTGGGGAAGTCGTGGCCTAATGGTTAGAGAGTCGGACTCGTAACCCAAAGGTTGCGGTTTGAGTCTCGTACCGGCAGGGATTGTAAGTGGGGGGAGTGAATGTACAGCGCTCTCTCCCACCTTCAATACCACGACTGAGGTGCCCTTGAGCAAGGCACCGATCCCCCAACTGCTCCCCGGGCACCACAGCAAAAAATGGCTGCCCACTGCTCCGGGTGTGTGTTCACTGCTGTGTGTGTGCACTTTGGATGGGATATATATGCAGAGCACTAATTCTGAGTATGGGTCACCATACTTGGCCACATGTCACGTCACTTTTTTTCTGTCATTGTTCTATTTTTGTATTCAGGTACAAAATATCCATAGTGGAATTTCACTAACCTAGTATTTCCTTGATAGTTTTCAGTAAAGCAGTCTTTCTGTCTGGAAATTTGACTAGCTGTCCATCACTTTTTCCTTGGAAATCTGTCTCTCTTCTCATCCTCACTATTCCTCCTGTCCTCACTTCTCTTTTTTTGTCCAGTTCTCTGTTGCCTTCATTGGAGACCCCCTTGACACTGTGTCTCTCCTCGCTGGTGGAAGATCCACCTGTCCCACAGGCAAACAGGAAGTAGTCACAGGGGCGAGAAAAGGGATCCATGGCAACAGAAAAATGCTCTGATGCTCTTAGACAGGCGGGAGAAAGGCAAGGAGGAGCAGCTGGAACAAGAGAGAGAAATTACGACCACTGTTATTAAAACTATACCAGCAGTTCTACTGTAGTTCCTAGTTCCTAGCTTTGTACCTGATTTCCATTGTGACGTCCAGGGGTCGGCAGTCTTTTGCAGGTGGGAATAGACCCCCAAACCTAACGCAGCTGCAAAGAGAGAGAAGGCAAAAACAACCAATAGGGGCCTGCGGTACTTGTTGCAGACCACTGGATGTGGTTGAGGCTGTTCCTCTGGCATTGTGAACATTTCCTGTGGGGATATAAGGTTAGCGAATGACTTACTCTTTATGTTTTATTGAGATGGACGTGTTGTACGGAAATGTCCATTTAAAAGCACAACTGGGAAAAGCAGGAATGCATAACTCATAGACTTTATGATGGATTGAAATTACACTGGCAGTCAAACATCCAACCACAATGAGAGCGAGTCCAAGGAACGTTCACTAAAGAACAATGAAAATGAAGAAACACACTTGTTTCCATAAACCTCACAGTAGTGAAATTTACTTTTATGTCTATGTTTAAAGGGAAAATATAATTCCCTGCTTAACATACAGCTTCTCATCGAATGAATGAACACAGGGATATGAAATTTTGATTTGAAATAATCTTTTCTATATATAGTCTTTCTTACTTTTTAAAATGTATTTATTTATATTTTATCGCTTACACGATATCGGAGAGCTGACAGGACGTTTAATGCGAAAGGAAAGGACAACAAGCCGAGATTCGAACTCAAGTTGACCAAAGCACAACGCTGTTCACGAGGGTCTCTGCTATAGCCTTAAAGCTTTCTGAAGAAGAAAAAAATACTCCTTTACAATGTACAAAACAATAGGGCAAGCAATAAGATGAGCTCGACAACAATATTACAGCAATATAAAAACGATTGTTCTCTCAGGTTGTTTTGGCACTAATAAATCATGCCATTTGGGTTCAAAGAAGAGAGTCACATTATCAAAACAGTCATTCTTGAGAAGTGGGACAAAACAGGGTGCAAAATTGAAAAAATAAAACCTTGTACAAATCAAACTAAATATATAGTTCTTATATGTACTAAGCTACTGAGATATGCTTTGATACAACCTCCCAACTTTTCTCTTTTTTAACAGGACCTGTTTTGTCCCACGTCTCAAGAATGACTGAAAAGTGAAATATGAAGCACAGCTCACTTCTAGGTCTATATATATACAGTATATAAAAAGAAAGTAGTGCCAATTTCAGTTACCTGGATGAGACAAATGTGTTGCCAAGGACGACGGTTCGAAATATCTCTTACTGTCGCGACGGACCAATCAGAGTCAATAATTCCACTTGTGTAAATGAACAGCATCATGAACTTCCCTTTGCATTAACCTCAGGTTAAGTGCCTTGCATTAGGGCATATTGTTGATGACTAGAGGACATTGAACTGGGAGTCTACACTACACTACGCCCGATTGAACCCTTCTCTGTGGACACACTGTTTTAGACGTAGTGAGAGGACATTAAGAAACACAGATTTGGTATAATAATGAGAAAATTTAATTGAAGGTGATAATTGTGTTAAATACATTCCATTATTAATCCCTCATGACATTTAAAATTGAAAATATTTTTAATTTTTAAAGCTAATAGCAGTAGGACCTGTTTTGTCCCACGTCTCAAGAATGACTGAAAAGTGAAATATGAAGCACAGCTCACTTCTAGGTCTATATATATATACAGTATATAAAAAGAAAGTAGCGCCAATTTCAGTTACCTGGATGAGAGAAATGTGTTGCCAAGGACGACGGTTCGAAATATCTCTTACTGTCGCGACGGACCAATCAGAGTCAATAATTCCACTTGTGTAAATGAACAGCATCATGAACTTCCCTTTGCATTAACCTCAGGTTAAGTGCCTTGCATTAGGGCATATTGTTGATGACTAGAGGACATTGAACTGGGAGTCTACACTACACTACGCCACCCATCTATTATATACTAGAAACTTTATGACATAAAGCAGAACTTTATAATTTAGGCAAAACCTCTACAGCACACTGCTAAACATGCTTGTTGGTGCTTATATGGGTAACCCGAGTTCAAATCTGGCTTGTGGTGTTTCCTGATCTCTTCCCACCACCCTCTGTCATTTCCTGTGACTACCACTGTCCTATTAATAAAACTGGCAAAAGACCAAAAATGGAAAACAGTGGGTATATCTTGAAAGCCTCACCTGATGAACAGCTGGGTTCTCGTCCATCCTGTTCTTCTTCTTACTTTTCGCTTTTGGTCAGGATTCTTCCTACATAATGTTCTTCCAGCGAAGCTTTCTGTTTCGTCACACTGTTCCACTTTCTATCTCTCCTCCGTCAACCACAAGTCATCCAACTACTATCTTCCTTCATCACACTCTCTGTTCACCCTTTCACTGACTGATAAACATGTAATGACTTGGCTTCCCACAAGACCCCTCTCTTTAACACATACATAAGGGGGCTATTTCTGCATATATTTCCTGAATCTCACCCTTTCTTAAATTTATGAGGGCCAGAAGATGATTTTGCTCCAAAATCCATCAACTGGATCAAGTCACCCAAGTTAAACTTGAGGAAACACAAACACTAAATGGAAAAAAAACCTGCAAGCACATTTTTTAAAGCTCCTCGGTATAGGAAGTGGCATAGTTAATATTAATTTCTATATACCTTTGATGTGACATTTTTACATACACAGACGTCGGCACTCCTGACTATCAGTGGTGTATGTGAAGCTGGTGCGGACTGATAAGAACTGAGGGGGTGTGAGAAGAGCAAAACCACAAAAGAGCACGTCACACATTGCGTGGGAACGAACTTGTTTGGAAGCCGTCACATGACAAAACCATAAACATACACGGAACTTCAAAAATACACATTACTTTAAGAAGAAAATGAAACTGACCAAGATGGGAAAAGACTGAGACATTCAAGAAACATCTTTTAGGTCCAGTGACAGCTCAAAAAAGTGCTCTGTCCGTCAATTTCCCCAAGTTCAACTTGAGGAAACACAAACACTAAATGGAAAAAAAACCTGCAAGCACATTTTTAAAGCTCCTCGGTATAGGAAGTGGCATAGTTAATATTAATTTCTATATACCTTTGATGTGACATTTTTACATACACAGACGTCGGCACTCCTGACTATCAGTGGTGTATGTGAAGCTGGTGCGGACTGATAAGAACTGAGGGGGTGTGAGAAGAGCAAAACCACAAAAGAGCACGTCACACATTGCGTGGGAACGAACTTGTTTGGAAGCCGTCACATGACAAAACCATAAACATACACGGAACTTCAAAAATACACATTACTTTAAGAAGAAAATGAAACTGACCAAGATGGGAAAAGACTGAGACATTCAAGAAACATCTTTTAGGTCCAGTGACAGCTCAAAAAAGTGCTCTGTCCGTCAATTTCATACTTTTATTAGTTCAGAATACAGTACAAATGTGGGGGGAAAAAAATGATAGCAAAATTAACACGTTGGCATACTTTCGACCGTAAACATGCACACATTCACATATTAAGAGAGGAATTTAGATGTTCAGTTTACAAAAAAAAAAAGACAAAGTACTGGTGAATGGTAAATACAAGGAGACTAAACCATAAGTGTTCAAATGGTCAATAACAGCATACTGAATTCAGCAGTGTCGTGATACCAGCATGAAAATGAGGCAACTGTGAAACATGACGTATAAAACACTGTAATAACAATAACAACAAATCATGCATAATGTGTTGGATTTGGTCATGTAAGATTTTTTATGATGGGAGCCATCGGTTTATTCGGTTACATCAAATATGAGAATTTCTTGGACAAGAGAGTCGAGGGAAACAGGTGCATAGAGAAATAAAACAAAACAAATGTTTCTGAGCTATGTAAAACAGATGTAATTCTCAAAATAATATCAGCGCTACCTTAAAGCCAATATAACAACGGGCTCAGTGGCTGATGTGCTTTTCTTTGGAGATACTTTTTCATCAAACTGACCTAGTTGTGCAATTGCTAAACACCTCTGGCAATATATTGAATGAAAAACAACTGAACTGATACTGGCTATGATAATCAATGCAAACTTACACAACTGTATCGTCACATATTTAGTTCGATACGTTTTAGGACAAAACGAATGTGCTTCTTAAAATATTTGTTCATTTACATAAATGAAGCATGCATGACAAATACACAAATCGCATTGTTCTTTCACCTTTCCCTGCCTTTGTTTTTGCTTATTTTACATTTGTCGCGACTACATTTCACACAGAGCCCTTCTCATCAACTACAAGGTATGTTTTGGAAAGCCTTATTGAAAGTGCATGGATGGCTGTGGATAAACAGACTTTACGTCTCACCTCAGTAGTCAGCTGTGGTACAATTTATGGATGTTCTGAGTTTTTTTTATAGGCATGCTGGGAGTCGTACAGCTCGCTGAGCTGAGATGGCAGTGCAGTACATTACCTCTGCACCGAATCAGCCTCTACAGTAAAAATTCAAGCCAAAAAACAGCCCTAAAAATCACTTCTCTAACACTTTACATATTAATCTAGGGGTAAAAACTGCCGTATGTAACACTCAACATGGAGGCACTAACACTGTGGTCGCACACATCAAGCCCTATCAGAAAGACACCTGGGCAAAGAGGGCAAGCTATTGGCCGAGCTCTGAATAAGGCCATTCAGAAAAAGCAGCAGAGCTTTGTCGAGAGAAGACGAAACTGTCATTGAGCAAACATGAGGAAAATTAGAAAATGACAATGTGAAATGGAAGAGAGAAGTACAACACTCACAAACACATTCGGCAAATGAATTTTCAAAGCTGAGCCAATTATGTGTCTTAAATTTGGTTTAGGTTTGTGGCAAGTTCCACCAATCAATGTTTGGCCTGCTTGGCACGTTGGGTATGGCATTTCATGCACAGAATTCTGCCATCAAATGGATAGCAGCCATCAGCATCTGCCTCTATGGAAAGGGGGCGAGCACAATCCTGCAATGAAAGAAAGAAAAAAAAATTTATTTGAAAGTTAAGAAGCATCATTTTTGTAATCTGTGGCTGGTACAAATAGGTAAAGGTCACAAATGGAAGCGTCTTCACACCTCACAGCGGTAGCACTTCAGGTGAAAGTTCTTCTCTAAGGCAACAACCCTGACTGTCTCTTCACTTCCAGGGTCGGGAATAATCGGCTCATTGCAGCTTACGCAAAGAGGAGAGAACCGGCTGAGGGAGAGAACAAGACGGAGTGAGGTTATGATATACACCATATATGATATATATATATATACACCTTGCTACGTGTACTGTGTTAGGCTAACCGAGACTTGTCATTTGCACTTATATATTGCTGCTCTTTTGTTAGTTTTGACTGCTTTTATTGTCCTCATTTGTAAGTCGCTTTGGATAAAAGCGTCTGCTAAATGACTAAATGTAAATGTAATGATATACAAAACATTTTTTTTAACATTGTATAAAAATTTTTATGGGTGTTTATTCAACTTCAGGCACATTTATGACCCAAGAGTTGATTTTTATTTCTATTCTATTATAAATGCTATTAAAAACTTTTTTTTGTGTTATATTAAGTTCACATTAAAACAGATTTTTTTTAACATTTACCTTTTTATTTTAAAATGACTTTTGTTTACAGATTTTATTGTATTACTCTTATAGTCAGACTTTCAATCTTAAAATATGAAAATCCATCATAAAAATTACATTTAAAAAACATAATACAAAGTGAGAAAAAAAATCAAGTAATTTCTATACAGTCGGGGTCAGAATTATTGGCACCCTTGGTAAATATGATCAAAGAAGGCTATGAAAATAAATCTGTATTGTTAATCATTTTGATCTTTTATTTAAATTAAAATTCACAAATTTCCAACCTTTCATTGAACTAAAACAATTGAACATGGGGGAAAATCTCATTATGAAATAAATGTTTTTCTCAAATACACGTTGGACACAATTATTGGCACCCCTAGAAATTCTTATGAGTAAAATATCTGTGAAGTATATTCCCATTCATATTTACAATTTTGAGCATACCAGGGTGATTATGGACATGAAATTATCCAGACATGGCTTCCTGTTTCACAGGAATATAAATAGGAGGGAAAACAAAGGCCAAATTCCCTTAATCATCCATCACAATGAGAAAAACCAAAGAATATATTTCTGATGTGCAAAAGATAATTGAGCTTCACAAATTAGAAAGTGAATTCCCATTTCCACCATCAGGGCAATAATTAAGAATTTCCAATCAACAGAAAATGTTACAAATCTGCCTGGAAGATGACGTGTGTCTATATCGTCCTAATGCACAGTGAGGAGGAGAGTTTGAGCTGCTAAAGGCTCTCCAAGGACCACAGCCGGAGAATTGCAGAAAATATTATATTGAGTCTCAGGGTCAGAAAACCTTAAAAAAAAAAAAAAAAAAAATCAAACAGCACCTACACCACATGTTGTTTGGGAGGGTTTCAAGAAAAAAAAAAAATAATGAAAAGAAAATGCTCTCATCCAAAAACAATCCCCAGCATATTCTGTTGTCAGACACGACTGGAACTTCAAATGGGACTGGCTTCTATGGTCAGATGTAACTAAAAAATTAAAAAAGCATTGAATAAAAGGGTGCCGTTAATTGTGTCCAATGTGTATTAGAGAAAAACATTTATGTCATAATGATATTTCCCCCCATTTTAAATTCTTATTCTCCACTGAAAGGTTAGATTTATGTGATTCTTTTTAAATAAAAGATCAAAATGATTAACAATGCAGATTTTTCACAGCCTTCTTTGATCATATTTACCAAGGGTATTTGCAAATAATTCTGACCACGACTGTATAAACAGTGTGAAAATTATTTGCATAAACCTTTTATACAATTGCCCGAATTGCATAATTTCCACCAGACTAAACAACTTTGCTCCAATAAAATGCAAAAAAAAAAAAAACGAAATAAAATCCTAAAACAACAGTGCAGTTTTTTATCAAGGAAGTGAAGAGCACATCTGAGATAAAATATGAGACGTGATTTATGAAGACAATGTAATATTACTTGTGAACAAATGTTTGTGCATCATTTCCAATCTGAGCTGTAATCCAGCTACACAAAATGTATGAAAATACTACTTATGGTTTTAATATAGGATCATTTCATAATGATATATAATATAATAGATATAATAACTTTCCACCACAATAAAAAAAATTGCCTCTAATAAAGTGCCCTCAACAGTAGTGTACTTTTATCAAAGCATTTCTGAGGTAAAATATGAGAAAAAAGGTAATATCAGTTGAGTACAGAAAAATTTTGTGCATCACTTCCAGTCAGTTACACAAAAAGTATGAAAATACTATTTCATTGTATTTAGAATACATAAGATAACTAAGAAATGAACATTGCAAAAACATATAAAAATTAATTCCCACCACAAAATTAAACCCAAATTAAATAAACTCATTTCGAAACTTGTGGTTTAAGGAAGTTTCATTTTATAGGTCCAAGAATGTCCATAGGTAAAGAACAACCCATATTAAATCTCACCGATTTATTCATAACATTGATGACTGACTGAATGTGATAATTAGTTCAAATGCTCTAGAGTATAACTGAGAGCTGTGACAGGTCTGGGATTCGGTGATAGCTCACCGATGGTAATCTTTGACACAGTAAGGGTTGTTTTTGTCATCGGTGATGAATGGAGTGCCCTCCAGGGTGCAGCCACAGGTAGAGCAGAGGAAACAGTGGGCATGGAAAGACTGGCCCACCGCCTTCAGGACACGATCTGTGATCCGCTCCCCACAGCGGGAACACACAGCCAGAGAATTCTGGAAACACACAAATCACACCCGAAGACAAACGGTAAGAAAAACAATGCTACGCTTTAATGAACAAAATGGGTAATCGAATAAGTTCCCACATGTTAACATGTGCATATCTATAATGTTCTCCTGATTCCAAAAAATGTAAACCAAAAATATGTCATTTCACACGTCTAAACAGGTTTGCCTCACCATGTAGCAGTCCTCACACTGAGGCGTTCTGTCACAGTCGTAGAACTGCATGCCCTGTAGGGGGCGCCGACAGGTCACGCAGCAGAAACAATGCGAGTGGTAGAGTTTATCCATCGCTCTTACTGCTGGCTGAGATCTAGACAGAGCCTCTCCACATTTACCACACACCTCTGAAAGGAAAAATATGTTCACATTAAGAATGGAAATTAGAGATTGTTGACAAGGAGTGATTTATGAGGTAAAGAAAGGTTAATTATGGAGCAGTACACACAGATTAGTCTCTAGGGTGATAACTGGGTGACTGGAGAGGTCCCTGTTGTGCTTTAAAAGGTCTCAGTTCAACAGCACAGCCTCACTAACTGACCCTAAGCCCCGCCTTAAAAACATTTGTGACCAATCCAACCTTCAGCAACTCTTGTCATTCACCATAGAGTACATCAGTCAGTTATAGAAGTAAAAATCCCATTCATTTTTTCCATAGAGGAACTGATTTTTAACGATAACTTGTAAGCTTTTGAAGACAGACCAACTGTGAGCTATGAGGCTGTTAATCGATGGTATTTGCTTTTGTCGAAGCCAGTCTGTAGTATTTCAACTTAGTTTTTAAACAGTCACGTTTAACAGTGGAATTCTTGGTGAAAAACTACATTACCAATGATTTTGGCCCCCAAATTTTTTTTTTTAAATCTCCACCAATCAGAGAATTGTGACGAGCAAATCCCGCCAAAAGAACTACAGCTACTACTTTTGTGTGCGCTACTGTCATCATTACGACAACAAAAATCTATTACTACTTCGATAGTACACTCTTCAATTAATTTGGGTATATTTAGGTTTATAACGGGTATGGTTCTCACCTTATTGATCAACAGAATCAGAATCAGCTTTATTCGCCAAGTGTGTGCAAACACACAAGGAATTTGTTGTGTTTTTTTAGGAGCTCTTGGTACAAACATGCTGTACATACATATATAACATGAGAACAGAAAGAACATTTTAAATAAGACTAAGGAAAAAACAAAAAATGCATAATAATATTAATAATGTGGTATACATCTGGAACAGAAGATTTATGTAATATCAATTTTGTGATTCACCTCATAGCTGCCTGGTTTGGTTCATTGCTCTTTAATGAAGACTTTAAAATCCCTATGAGAAAAATACTTCTGGAACCAGTTCCGCTGAAAAAGTGGATGGGCTCGATTACACTCTATCAA